CTTTCTCACGAAATCGGTCGAAGCGAAGAAGCGCACACAATCGGCGAGAAACTCATAAAACCGTGCCTAACAGGAGCAGCAGAGAATCTCCCCAAACCGAGTCAAGTGGATAAGTTTCGTCGCATTCCTCTCTCCAATAATACGCTCAGTCGGCGGATCGGGGACATAAGCACATGGCTGGAGGAAACAGTTTGCAATGAGCTCAAGTCAGTCCCTACTGGCCGATGCAATCGGACGAAACAAGCGATTTGAGCGGATCAGCGATTTTGTTGGTTGTGGTGCGTTATGTCTTTGACAGCAGTGTCCATGAGGAACTTCTACTACGCAAGCCCTTGATCTGTCAGATGACGGGAGACGCGATTTCCAATCTGGTGGATGCTTATCTCTCGGAGAATGGTATCTCGTGGGAGAGATGCATCAATGTGTGTACCGACGGTGCGGCCGCTATGGTCGGCAGTCAGAAAGGATTCGTCGGTAGACTTCGGGGAATTTTGCCGGAAACAACGGCCAGTCATTGTATACTGCACCGAGAGGTGCTTGCCATGAGAAAACGTCCTGCGAGTCGTGAACTATATCAAGACCCGCCCCTTGCAGTCTCGAATATTCAAGATAATCTGTAATGTGATGGGAAGCAGTCACTCGTCTCTGCTTTCACCCACCGAGGTTCGGTGGTTATCACGGGGCCGGTTGTTAAATCCTCTGTTCGAGCTCCGCGAAGAAATTCAGAGCTTCGGTGTGGAACATCCATTGCAAGCGAGCGTTTCCGGGACCGCATGTGGCTCACGGAATTGGCATATCTCGCGGATATTTTTAACAAGCTGAATGATCTCACAACCTGTCACTCCAAGGGAGGAATGTGAACATCTTCGACGCGACAAAAAAGATTGGCGCCATGAAACGGAAAATAGAACTTTGGGCATTTTTTATATCAGAGGATCGTATCGATTTCTTGCCCACACTGCAGGATTACCTCAGCGAAACCGACGGAATACTCCACGCTAGCGTCAAAACTGATATCCACCTCCATCTGATAGACTTGCGAGAAGAGATGGAGCTATATTTTTCGTCGGAGACGATTGAAGATCGAGTCGCCCACAAATGGGTAAAAACTCCGTTCACGGCCACTGTGGACCGCGCGCTCACTTGCGCTCAAAACGAGTAGCTGATCGAAGTCCAGAGAAGGGAGCATCTCGAACAGCTGTTTCAGACAGTTCCCTTGGTGAATTTTCGGGCCGGGATTGCTGTCCACTTCCCGCCCCCATCGGAGGTCGCGCTGTCCTCCCTCGTACCATAGCACGTGTCTGTGCGAAAGAGGACTTTCTGTGTACACTGCCGCTGAAAACAAGTATAGGAACCATCTGGATGCTGAACCGGATATGAGATTACAACTCTCGGGGAAAAAGCCGGACTCTGCTGAAATTCTCTCCGCATCTCATATTCATCCCTAAAATTGAAACAGATCTTCTCTTGCATTAGTTGGATGAGTTCAGGAGGTGTACATGAATTAAAACTTCCATATATTGTGATATCTTCTTGTGATTGGAGGCGTTGTCCCCTAGTTTGAACTAGGTTTCTCTGAATAGTCGAATCAAGTCGTACATCGGCGTTCGCCCGAAATTCCGTGAACGTTTACGCAAGGGGTTCCCCGAGGGATTCCGCGATAGATCTGCAAGGGGTTCCGCGGGTATTTCGGGGTGTGGTAAGGGTTCCGCGAGGAAAAAGTTTGGGAACCACTGCTCTACATCGACATTCACTGTCAGAATACATGAGAATTCGCAGGTCTGCTTAATCGTGAAAGGCAAGTCTCCGGTGTCCTTACTGCTCATCCGATGTATCTCACCTATTGCTTCTCTCCTCTCATTTTCTGTACTATAGCCACTGAGGATACCGTTTGCAATGACATTGTCTGTTGTCTCCATCGTAGGAATCGCGTTCGCATTATAATCTTCCGCATCCTTATTATGGAAGAACAGACTTGTGACAATTCTGTTTCGCAGCATTCCTTGGTTCGAAATCGCGACTCGATCATGGTCTGCTCGTCAGCTGTCAGACATTCGACGCAGCCGATTTTTGTGTGGGCGGCCGAGAAATTTTGATCTTTTTGACGCATAACTTTCGTCAGTGGAAAGTAATCTAAAGATTGCCAGAGAATGGCAGTTCCTCCGATCGATTGTTTGGTGGCGGCATAGACAGGACTAGCGTTAACCGGTGGTAACTGTTTCGAATCGCCGCGAGCAATGAGATCCAAGTTCACCGAATGGAAGAGATGAGACCCGCACATACTTACTTCGTCGATAATAACGCATTTGACATTTTTATGAGATGCCGATATGCATGGAGAGCCTTGAGGGAGAGATGGCCTGTTTGCCTGGATAGAGTTAAACGGAAAGCTGCGTGAACGGTCAACCCGTTGATTCCGACGGCTGCTTTGCCGGTGGTAGCTGTCGCTATGAAAGCGTGATTCATTGAGTTATGGTGCTGAGTATATCGATTACACAGCTCGACAAAAAAAAACTTTCTTCGCGTTACAAAGAAAGTGAAAGCTATTTCGGGGTAAACCGGGGGCGCTGAATCCGGATTTCTTAACGGATTTTCTCCATCAGGTCTAGTTTTTCCGAAATTTCAATTTTTCGATTCTTTGCTATTTTTCGTCTCCAAAAAATTCTAGCTCCGCCCCTGAGTGGACTAGATCGATGAAACTTTGGTGGCGGATAGACCTCGGTTGGGGCTATACCTGGCCGAGTTTTGGTGCGATTCGTAGCAGTGGTCTCTGAGCTCGAGCCATCGGAAACTAAGAAAAAGAAGAAAAAAGTGGGAGAGGACCCGGTCGTGGTCGGAAACCACGGAAAATCATAACTTCTGAAGGACTGCACCGATTCCCTTGAGAATTCTATGAGGGGGCATTTGGCCTAGGGCGCAACTTTTGAGATAATTTTCGGGTCCGAACCCGATTTTTTTCACTAAATCGGCGCTTGCGGCTAAACGGCTGAACCGATTTTGGAACTTCTCACGGCGTTGGAAAGCTGAGTTCATTGCGCATCTCTTCGGTACCGGAAAACTTGCTCTACGACCTTTCATAAGCGAGTTGGCGACCGATTCTCAAAAGCGCCGATCTCTACTCGAAAAATGCTTCGTTTCTCTCTCGCAAAGAGCCGATCCGATGTGAAATTGAATGATCTAATCGATTCAGTCCATATGACAGTCATTTGCCTCGGGAAAAAAAATTATAATATTCTCGATGTGAAATTCCCATTTTGTTCCAGTTTTTTCGCCAATGTGCCCCACCCTTTGAAGCCCCCAGGGCAACCAACATTTTTTTCTGATGCCCCGCGTCCCCCCGCATTCCCTGAACCTCATGTTGGGCACCCCTTCCGCGATTATCTACCGTTAAACTCATGAAAACACCTCAAAATTGCGTATTTTCATGGGTTTCACCTTATAATAATTAGTTCTACAGCATTTATCCCCTAGATTGGTTTTATTCTTGCAGAGAACCTCGGAAAACAACTCGGCGATTTGAATTTGCCGTCAGCGAGGCCATCGTTGACTCGCCGCAAAGGCCTCATAAACAACAACACGTGCGACTGTGATGACAGTGATCGTCAGTGCCGAAGACTCTCGGTGACTGGAACGAATACCTGGATTGCACAATTTCTTGCCCGAAGAAACGAGAAACAGCCGTTCGATTGCGTGTTTCGTGCTCTGTACTGTTCTCCGGCGGAAATCTCGTACGATGAAAACGTTTGCACTTGTGATACCCTACGGGGACCTCGTGGACATCATCCTCTCGAATCAAAGTGATCTGAACCCTATCATGGAAGCCATCCAGAGTCGATACCACATGATTCATGAGGAGGATTTTAAGGAGTTCCGAACACACTTAAGCAAGTACATTATGCCAAACTTCTTGACGAAATGGAAAGCGAGTGGACGCTGCCGAATCAAATTCGGGAAGAAGCACCAAGATTGGCTACAGAAGTATTTGGTCTTCAACGTTGACATCGATGAGACACGGGAGACTTCCTCTGACGCAGATCCATCGGCTGATGTAGCGCTAATGACACCCAGAGGACGTCCGTCCAAAGAATTCGCAGAGTGTTTAGAAACTCAACAAAGAGTAAAGGCCCGGGAGTTCTGGGAGCAACATCCGGACTCACTGCTCCACGCAGCCTTCGAGCTCACGCAGCAGTTCAAGGATCAGCTGCTGAGTCCGATAGCAGCCTTAGCGGTCATACTGGAGACTAACAGCTCCAAAGAGTCATACTTGCGGTATCGATATGCTGTCACGATCCGCGGAAACAGAGTCTTTCCAAGCTTCGATCAGATTCTGGAGGTCAAGAAGGAGTGCTATCCAGACGGGATACAGGTGAACGAGCGGGGAGCGAAGGTTCCTTTGTTGGAAAAGGAACTTTTCGAAAACTGATGGACCACACGATAAGCCGTCTTCTCATGTCGACATCTGAGCGAACGTCCGAAATTTCATCAAATCTTGTTCTCTCGACGAAATGGGGGTGTGATGGTGCATCCGGCCAGAGTTAATACAGGCAAAGATTCTCCGACACATCCCGCTCGGACGCCAGTATCTTCGCGACTCCAGTGGTGCCGCTGGAACTGAAGGACAGTTCGACGGGTATCGTCGTGTGGAAAAATCCGAACCCATCATCCCTGAGATTGTGCCGACCCCTTAAGTTCGTATTCGGTAAGGAGTCCGTGGACTTGGTAAAGAAGGAAGTGGCTGAAACCAAGAGGGAAATCGAAGATCTTCGTGCGTCGGTGGTCACAGTTGGGAGAAACTCGTGCGCATCGAGCACAGTTTCACCCTCTCGATGATCGACGGTAAGGTCGCCAATGCGCTCCTCGACAACAAAGCGACCTCGGTGTGTGTGATATGCAATGCCAAACCGTAGAACATGAACAATCTTGCTTAAGTTCGAGCTAGGTCGCTCAACGTGGAAGCGTTGCAATTCGGAATCTCCCCGCTCCATGCGAGAATCAATACGATGGAGTGTCTGATAAAAATCGCGAGTAGCCTGGAATTGGAGAGATGGCGCTGCAAGATGGACGACAAAAAAAAACGAGACGAACGCTTGCAGGCGATCCGGGAAGAGTTCAGGGCAGCACTCGGATTGATCATTTCTGTCGTTCGACCTGGTGGCGGCACAAGCAATGACGGGAACACGGCGCGCAAATTCTTCAGAATCCATGCGGAGACTGCCAGGATCACTGGTTTAAACCCAGAGCTGGTCTTCAGACTTCACATTATCTTGGAAGCGATCAACTCTCGTCGTCCTTTGAACTCTACCGCTTTCCGCGACTATTGCTCCAAGACAGCAGATCTCTTCGTCTCGCATTACCCCTGGTATTACATGCCAGTGACGGTCCACAAAGTATTGATCCACGGAGCAGACATAGTTGAAAAAAGCACACAGCCAGTTGGAAGTCTGAGTGAGGAGGCGCAAGAGGCCTCGAACAAACTTTTCAAGAATCTTCGAGAGCACTTCTCGTTCAAGGCGCAGCGAGAGACTGTGAATCGAGATGTTATACAAAGGCTCTTCGCTCATTCCGATCCTCTCGTCTACAAGTACCGGAGGGAGTTGCCAGTGAAAGAATTAGATATAATTCCGGAGGTTGAGATGCTTCTGATCTCGGACCCCGAGTAATGTTATGTGTTGTTGTGTGTTATTGTGTTCATCCGTGTTAGCCGCCGCTGCGGCGAGTCAAAGATGGCCTCGCTGGCGGCAAATTCGAATCGCCGAGTTGTTTTCCGAGGTTCTCTCTGAGAATAAAACCAATCTAGGGGGTAAATGCTGTAGAACTAATTTTTATAAGGCGAAACCCATGAAAATACGCCATTTTGAGGTGTTTTCATGAGTTTAAAGGTAGATAATCGCGGAAGGGGTGCCCAATATGAGGTTCAGGGAATGCGGGGGGACGCGGGGCATCAGAAAAAAATGTTGGTTGCCCTGGGGCTTTGAAGGGTGGGGCACTTTGGCGAAAAAACTGGAAAGAATGGGATTTTCGCATCGAAAAAATTATGATTTTTTTTCCTGAGGCAAATGACTGTCATATCGACTGAATCGATGAGATCATTCAATTTCACATCGAATCGGTGCTTTGCGAGAGAGAAACGAAGCATTTTTCGAGTAGAGATCGGCACTTTTGAGAATCGGTCGCTTACTCGCTTATGAAAGGTCGGAGAGCAAGTTTTCTCATACCGAAAAGATGCGCAGTGAACTCAGCTTTCCAACGCCGTGAAAAATTCCAAAATCGGTTCAGCCGTTTAGCCGCAAACGCCGATTTAGTGAAAAAAAATCCATTTTTTGGGTCTCGGGGTTAGAGCCCGGACCCGAAAATTATCTCAAAAGTTGCGCCTCAGGCCAAATACCCCTGTTATTTACGGTTGTTTCCGGTTCTCACGAGGGAAAAGGAAAAGAAAAGACGGATTTCGAGTGAGACTCGAGGGGTGATTTCTTTCCTGATCGGGATTGCGTGCAACGCGATGAAGGGGCTGCGTGAGAGTGATTGCACGTTCCCGCCGAATCTCTAGATAGCCACAGGGCGAGAGGGATTCGGGGGAAGAGGGAAACCCGACCAAGACGCCACCACTCGAGCTTTATTGAGGTGCCAACGGAGTATCCGTGACAACCCCCTCATAGAATTTTCAAGGGAATCGGTGCAGTCCTTCAGAAGTTACCTCCAATCCCACTAGTTGTGAAGTGCGCAACGTCGGGGACGTTGGCCGATGGTGATCTATACAATGACGCTATCTGAACTCGCCTGCCCTCGGCCGTCGGTTCGATGACAATACAGTCACACTGGGGTTCTTGCGTCCGATGGATTACAAACGGAGACATACACTCCCTGACAAATATCGATACACCACCAGCTCTGTAGGAATCATTGGAAGAGAAAAAAGCCTTGAAATCAGGGATCATATAAAGATTCTCCCATTCTGGAGATAGCCATGTTTCAGTAAATATGAATATATCTGCCATACTGTTCGCCAATGAAGACTTGAAATTATCAAAGTTGCTATTCATACTACGTATGTTGATCATCTGTATAAGAATTTTCCTGCCTGAGACCCTGGCCCGGCCTCCCCGAGCCGAACCAAGATTCATGAACGCGAGCGCAGAAATGCCCACCCGGCGTCGCTAGACTTTATTATTATATTATTCACTAGCGCCCGGTATCGCTAGACTCACTACACATGCGCTAGCTCCGAGTGCGCTGGCTCCGAGTGCGCGTCCCATTTCCCCG